ATTTTAAGTAGCCTGGCTCCCCATGGGGCATAATTTTCGGAAACGGAAATTTTTCGTACTCTGTCGATCGCTAGCGATCACAAGAAATTAGGTTAAGAATAATAACTTGAAACCTACGGATGGAGGAAGAAGAAGGTTAAGAGTACTGAAAAAGTAGAGAATATCATCTGTAAGTATTGTAATTATATGTTTGCTAATTATTATTACTAGTTTTATTATTCTTGAGCTATAATATATTAAATATTTTTTATATAATTTTTGAAGGAAAAGGTGAAAGCGATAACAGCACGATTACTTCTTATGAAAAATATAATAAAGTCGCAAAGTACTCCACAGTTATCTTAATAATAATATTAACATAATAATATTATTGAATGTTTTTTCTTTGGATATTTGGGATAATGTACATATAATGTTAGGTTAAAAATGTATGCAAGGCTATCACCATAATCTAATATAAAATAACTTAGCAAACATATAATTACAATACTTACACATGACATTTTCTACTTAAATTTTTCAGTACTCAAAACCTTCTTCTTCTTCCTCCATCCGTAGGTTTCAGGTTTTTCTTAACCTAATTGCTAGTGATTGCCAGCGACCGACAGAGTACGAAAAATTTCCGTTTCCGAAAAATATGTCCCATGGGGAACCAGGCCAGGGCCTCCAAACTGGCCGTACCAGCGTTAGTAGCGCCTCTATCCGTGTTCCTCATGTAAATGAACTAAATGCATGGATGCATGAGTACGTGTCGGTAAAAAAGTCGGTTCAAGTCCATTTTGGTCGGTTTTTAGAGCTTGAGTGAGGCTGGAGTCACATTGAGCGGTAATTACAGCGGAACGGAACAGCGAGACCAATCACAATCGCAGAAAGTAAAGCAGCGGAATGATTGTAGAGTTCTGATTGGTTTCACTATTCCGTTCCGCTGTAATTACCGCTCAATGTGACTCCAGCCTGAGGCGGACCTGTTGTCATGAAATACAAGTAATGGAAAAATTAAAAAATGTTTTAAACGAAACATTTTCTAAGTTCATGATACATTGTTCTATTGTACGGGATATTATAATAGATACAGTAATAGATACAGTAATTACATACCGCATATTAGTGATATAAACTATCCATTTAAAATGCTAATACAGATTCTGTGCATACTTGCAAATGGTTACATTGTATAATTAAATTCCATATTTATATATTTATACTCGCTCTGTATTAATTGTTTGATGGTAATGACGGCGGCGAGCGATGACACACAAACATTCCGTAGTTGATTATTCTCTCTAGCTCTCTCTCTCTCTCTCTCTCTCTCTCTCTCTCTCTCTCTGTCTCGATATTTATCATTACCTGTGTAAGAAAAACAGTTCACAAAGTATATTTTCTTATTGGTAAGTATATAAAAGCGATACTTTTTCAAATGTATATATTAACACTTATCTGATGCATCAAAGGCTTCGATCCACTTCCTTTCAATTTAACTTGGGAATATTTCGAAGATTTCACCGCTCAAAACTCAAATTGAAGTTACTCAAAACTGAGGTTATCTACCAAAACTGAGGTTATCTATCAAAACTGAGGTTACATCGGCCGGCTGTCAAAATTTAATTCAGTA